CCATGCTGCTTTTGTTGACATCTGGAAACATCGGCCAATAATGAATCTAAATAGGTCTGATTCGGAACCCATTTCCAAACGTGGCCATAATAGTTAAACCGAATTTTCCTTCCATCGTTACGACCACTATCCGATAAAAAAATTTGTTGTTATATTTTTGAAAACGCGTGACAAAGTTGTGGTACAAACTGGAAGAAACTAATATTCCAAATGGGAATACGATAACGGTGTTCTTAATTGTTTAAGCTTCATTCCCGAAGAAAGCTATTTCGAAAAAATCGACAAACGACATTTAACACTGAATACGATTAGATAAATTCAATTTGAAAATTGACTTCGCGGTCGGTAATCAAATAATCTCTCAAGTAAAATAGCCCGCAGTGTTAGACATGTTACAAGCGTATTTTCAAAAATTAATATCTCTGAAACGAAGCCTTGAACGTAATTTCGTCGTTCTTGATTTTCATTTCATTTTCCCATCTAGAATCCGCCCTCTGAAACTGTCCCATATTCTTTTACCAACACCGTCTATAAGTGACCAAATTCGTTAATTTATCAGATTTTCGTATTCCCAACAAGCTGTCCCGTTCACCAACCCGACAGAAATATAAACACGTTCATCTTCGATAGTACTAGCGTTAAATATTTACATATTTGCTCATCGATGACCCCCACGGACGGTCACTAACAAATCACTCGATCAACGTGTCAAACCCTGCGATCGAACGCAAAAAAATTCCTCCACTTCCGTTTCGTACCACGACTTTCGTCTCGCCGTGTACATCCTCCGTCCCGTACACCCGTAGCGAGTTCTAGAGTACGTTTTCTCTCCCCCGTAGAGTATCGATTTAGAAAGAGGACGCTCCTTTAGAAACACCCTCCGTTAGTTTGCCCGACGCGTAAGGGGCTCGAAGCGAGTTCGAGGCCTCGGTATCGCAAACGGGAAACGGCACACACGTACGTTTTTCGTTCCTTTATAGAACGAACGGCATACACACACACTCACGTTTCACGTTCGTCAATGGAACGAACGACAACCACGACACCGAACCGATACACACACGAGCGTGATCCACATTACACGAAAGGTACAGAGATCTGCGCCCACGAGTATTTCGCGGGTGAACACAAACAGAACGTGACACAAACGGGCGTACACACACGCAAACACGCACGCAACACGCACAGACTCTGTACGGGCACCATGGGAGCGGAGCCTGTGGCCACGATACCCCCGATTGATTGATGTGATTAGGGTACGAGATTCGACCCTCTCGTCGAGGACGAGCGGAAGCCACGGCCGATCGTCCATCCCCCTTCGAACCGCTGCAAACGGCGCGGCGAAATCAAAAAGGAGTTAGTAGCATGGGCATGTGTGTCTGTCCGTCTCTGTCCGAAATCGCAGCACGTTCACGTCGAATCTAATGATAATATGTGTTTATATATGTCTGCTGTGAACGTATACTTATGTATTATGTATATGTTTATAATCACTCGCGATCACGGTCTGCCTCGACGCGACGACGCGGGAGTACTGTTAGTGGAACCGTATTGAAAAGAATATTGAAGGATACGAATTCGGTACCGAGGTGGGGTAGAGGGTTAATCTCTTCAGTGGGGATGTTTGTGTTTCTGAATAGGCAAATTGGTAGAATTTTCAGTGGAAATGAAAATTATGTCTGTTGCTCTGGTACTGAGGTAAATTTTTAATGAATGTTAATTCAATTAACACTGATCGTACCGACCGTCAAATGACCGGTTTTAAATACTCTTTACGACGTTTAAGTCTCGGCACGGTTAGTGTTAACTAAACATTATTTAGTAATGAATGTAACTCTTGTAATGAAAAATGCCATATAGAGACCATTTAATCTTACATCTAATAAAATTTCGTACAGTGTTCATCGAGTGCCGGCATCAAAACGATCATTTCACGTGGAACAACCTAATATAAAATTTGAAAATGATACTAGATTAATATTTCGCTGTTCTCTTTTTTTTTTTTTTTTTAATATTTTCTAATCTGATCCTCAGCTAGGGTGTGTTATTTACGTCGGTCGTTGGGGGGTGACAAGGTCGCTCTGCAAAAGTTTCCTTAAACGCGTCGTTTTTTTTCCCCCCCCCCCCCACCGTTGTTCTCTCGAATTGCCACGCCGAGCCAGACCGTAGTCGTATAATTGTACCTAACCCACCACGACTCACGCCGAGCTTCTGCACGCTTACGAGGTGGCTGCCAAGAAACCGTGACCTCTGAGTGCTCAGTTCGATGGTTGTTACACTGTTAGATGTGCATGAGCCTATATCGGTTACGATAAACATAAAAAGGGTAACTTGTACACGAATGTTGATCGGTTCTCATTGTTTCGAATCCCGCCTCAATTAAGTATACGTTAAGCACAAGTATTCGGAATTTTCCTTAATATAAAATACTTTCTCTATTCCTAAAAAAATTACCTGGTGTGTTAAGTTAATAAATAACGTTCGGTGTATATTTCAATGATCTCGTGTAATGTACGATTCATTGGTGAACTTTACGGTTTTTTTTTTCTGGTGTTCGGTGTCGTTACGCGGAAAGAAAAATTGTTTAACCATTACGCATTCTTTCATGCCACCCTGAGTTTAAGGTAAAACGTGATTTAACGAGAATGTACCCGCCTGTTGTCCATCATCCAAGAACACGAACACAAAGCGGAGAATTAAAGTGTAAAACGATTTAATTTTCTCCGCGAGCTTGCGTTCCTGAAAAACAAGAAATGCTGCTTTTGACGCTGCCACGCGAGCACAAAAGCGTGTGCAGAGTTCAGAAAAGGTAAAACAACAGTGGGTTCTATGAAAATGTTCAAAACGATGCTCCCAATTTTATGCTCTGGGGAATGTTTTTTTTTTTTTGGAGCCACGAATGTTCTCTCGCTTATAATGTACCTTTGTTCACGAATCGCTTTTAAGTTATTTCCGAGCGAAATGTTATCCGTTCTACGAGTAAAACCGGTGGAATTGCTTCGAAAGCTGATTCAACGATCGTAGTTCTACGATCGAACTACTATCACGACGGCAGTACGTTTTGAAGTCCAGAAGGAAGTGATTTCGTAACGGTGTAACTCGATCGCGTAAGACAGTAAACGTATATTGTCTGATCTCTCTTCAAAGTCACCGTTCAAGACTTTGCCATAAATCTGTTGATCCTACTTGAAACTCTCGAATATTACAAGAACAACCGATTAGAGAAACAAAAATGTTTCTTAAACATTACGAAGAGTATCCTAATAATACTACTTAACAACTTTCAAATATTCAAAGGACAATAGAGTAGACAAACAAAATTCCATTCGTTTTCGATGTTCATTAGACTTTACATTACGTAGGTTATTCTGATATAATCGTTGTAAAATTCGATAAATCGTTGGAAATAGTAAAATGGAAAATATAGATTCGAATTTGTTCATATAGGGTCAGTTTTTGAGAAAATTGACCATTCGTCGGATAATTTCGTGTTCTCGAATGGATCTCGGTTAACGTGTCTGGTCATTACATACTATTTCTACTTACTACAATCATCAAACTACGAGCAATGAAAAAAAAACTTATAAATTAATTTCACATCAGAAGTTTACATGTATAACAATTAAGGAATACATAAGTACATTACCTGAATTCGATTTTATCTTAGACAAAAATTATACTATTCAGAGAATAGTATAAAGCAACAATTTATTAAACAGTGTACAAGGATTAATAAAATCAGGTTAAAATTTCTTGAAGACAACATCAACCTAGTAAAAAGTTTTAGTAATCTGAATTGAAGTAAACTTTCTCCCTAACGGAGTCTCATACGACGAGATCTTACTTTATATTTTTCGCACATTTTTTTGCACAAGAAATCACTCGTTACCGATTACATCAAGATTACCGTAACACTTTGTGTAATTCTCTGTAAAAGTGGTTCCCCGATTATCTTTGATAACACGTGTTTACATTGTCTCCGGGCAGGCAAACGGATCTGAACGAGTAGAACCGGTAAAAGTTTAATTGGCTCACGAAGGGCGCGACCCAGTTTCGAGACCCGTAACTGATCGTCCATACGGTTCCACGGGTAGATCGAGCACGCGAAACGGATCGTAACAACGTTTTAACGCGACGATTCTGAAAGCACACGCTCTCCAGTCCACGTAGAAGGTTCTGCGCATCAGTTTCGTGATTTTATTGCTCTTTTAGTGGTTCCGCCCAACGATCCGCTACTTCCTGTTTACCTCGTTCGCTACCTTGAACGATGTTCAGCTTGCGACTGAAGCGACACGCCAGGAATACCAGGAGAAGAAGAAATAAATCGATTAGTTGAAATGGATTTAGTGGTCTAGAGTCGTTGGAAAATAAATTGTCGAAAGTAATAGGTGGTTGGAAAATAAATTGTCAATCCAGATCCACATTTTTGGAGTAATAGATTGTCTGTTTAGATGATAATTTAAGTCTATACGCCTTTGGCGTAGACTGTAATGTAGATCAATGATTCTTCGTTGATGTTGAAATCAATCGAAGGAATCTCGTTTTTGGTCAGTAAAGATACTTCGTTAACGGGGATTAGAACTTACGGTTGAACTAACTACGCTGGAAAAAAGGTTTATTTTAAAATGGAATAAGCATCGATATACTGCACAGTTAAGAATTTTCACGGGGAACATAATAAATAACTCAGAAAATCGAGGGAAGAAAAATTATCAATGAATAATTCAAATACGAGGCAGTATGCGGTTTTCGTTCGATTTCTTGGATATGGCGGCAGGTGACAATTTTCCTCGAGATACTAGAACAATCGTAAATGTTCTATCGATTGTCTCGATTGTTCCCGGTAAGTACAGAAACGGATAAGAAAATGATGAGGGACCGAGGCTTGGAGAAATTTTATTTCGAGATGTTTCGGTATTGTTTCGTGCGCGTTTCACGTCAGGCAATCCTTACCAAGAAGACAATTAACTAACAATCGATTCCCGCGTTAACTTCCACAGTGATCTGCGCCCAGGGACTGATCGCGAAAGACAAGAGCGGCACGTCTGATCCTTACGTGACGGTCCAAGTCGGGAAAGTGAAGAAGCGAACCAGAACGATGCCGAGGGAATTGAATCCGGTTTGGCACGAGAAGTTCTACTTGTGAGTAATCCCATTACCATTCGACGTACCCCGTGAAATATGCGTTTCTCCACTGTTTCACCGTAATGGAGGAGAGACAGACGAAAGGAAAATTAATTTCCAGCTTACGTGTATCGTGGCTGCTGGAGAACTCTCGTGGAATCACGAACCACCGCCAATTATTACTCGCTATTTACGTTTTGCAGAAGCAGACGATGAGGTTTCTTCTTTACGTACAAACGATAAATCGAATTATACACTTCGTGCAAAATAATCTCAGGCCTAGTTTAATTGAGAATCCTCGTGTTACGTAAATAGTAACATTTTAACATACAAATCTTAGTATCGAAACCTCAAGGACAAGAAAGAAAAATGATAAAACTAGAATTTCAAAATTTTCTACGATAGATTCAATTATAATTACAGGGATAATTGTAATGGAGAACCAATGTAATATTAGTATCGAAACCTCAAAGACAAAAAAGAAAAATGATAAAACTAGAATTTCAAAATTTTCTGTCAGATTCAATTATAATTACAGGGATAATTATAATGGAGAACCAATGTAATATTAGTATCGAAACCTCAAAGACAAGAAAGAAAAATGATAAAACTAGAATTTAAAAATTTTCTGTGATAGATTCAATTATAATTACAGGGATAATTATAATGGAGAACCAATGTAATCTTAGTATCGAAACCTCAAGGATAAAAAAGAAAACTGATAAAAATAAAATTGTTTGTGTTTGATTCAATTATAATTATAAACTATAAGAGGGAACCAAAAGAAGATTATAGGTTTAATGTGAGTCAGTCACCGGTAAATTCATTTCTTGTCCGTAGCGAGTGCCACAATTCGTCGGACCGAATAAAAGTGAGAGTCTGGGACGAGGACAACGACCTGAAATCGAAGTTACGGCAGAAACTGACGAGGGAGAGCGATGACTTCCTCGGGCAGACGATCATCGAGGTGAGAACGCTCAGCGGCGAGATGGACGTCTGGTACAATCTGGAGAAGAGGACGGACAAGAGCGCAGTGTCCGGCGCTATCAGGCTACATATCAGCGTGGAGATCAAAGGGGAGGAGAAGGTCGCGCCTTATCACGTCCAGTACACCTGCCTGCACGAAAACCTCTTCCACAGTCTGTGCGAGAAGAACGACGGAGTTGTGGGCCTGCCGCAGGCGAAAGGAGACGACGCTTGGAAAGTGTATTTCGACCCGCCTGGAGAAGAGCTTGTCGACGAATTCGCGATGCGATATGGTATCGAGAGTATCTACCAAGCAATGACGTAAGTGAAATTCACATTTCTAGTAAGGGAAAGGTGTCTAAAACGATCCGTTCAAGACGGAATTTATTTAAAAAATACAAATGCTCATTCTTTAAATAAAAGTAAAATAGTTTTTGTAAGTTAGTCTATCTATCTTATCATTGGGTTAAATACAATTTAGCTACGTGATCAATTATATGTTTCATTCACATTTCTTTGAAGGCATACTTAAGGATCATTTTGTAATGTATGTGTATAAAATGATCCCGAGGCATTATTTTACACCTACTGATAGTAAATACGACGTACATTAAAAAGTATTTTAGTTATTACATTTTATTTAAATAAAAACAGCTTTGACGCGTTGTGTTTTTGTTTCATACTGACGGGGCATTGTTGTAACTAAAATAAAAAACAATAATATAGCATATCGGTTAGGTTGAGTTGTATAATTCACTCGATTATAGTCCACGTATATGTAAAGAGCACAATTGTTGACATGTCTGCGATAATGTGACAATCGTTCAAAGAAAATCTATATTCTGTAATTACCAAATTTCTTTACGATCATTTCAGGCATTTCCACTGCCTTTCGACGAAGTACCTCTGCCCAGGTGTGCCAGCAGTAATGTCGACGCTTCTGGCGAATATAAACGCGTACTATGCTCATACCAGCGCGAGTTCCGCTGTTTCAGCCAGTGATAGATTCGCCGCCAGTAACTTCGGGGTGAGTACGGGGTCGAACATTGAACACTACGTTTATTCAAACGGGAGGAAAAGAGATAGGCGGAGGGTGAATAGCTGGAACACTGTGATTGAGAAATGCTCCTGCAATTTCCCAGTAGCCTAAACCATCCATTATTCCTACGCCGGTTCAAGTTGGCTGACCAAGAAACTTTAGAGCACACGTGCTCTCGTAGATCTATCAATTTCATTCTGAAACCCTCTATTAAGTTCCCTGTTTCTTCCATTTCTAATTTATCCTTTTATCTAGAAGAAGAAAACACTTGGGCTTGGAAATTCGAAACGCAAGATGCAAACTGCTCGCGTGCACCTTCGAATCTAATTAAGATTTTAATTAAGATTTTTCATATCTCAATTGCATTACGCCGATCTTGGGGAGAGATTATTTACGCTGAACCCCGAACGAGTGTCAACAATAGAATGACAATGTAACATGTACAGATTTAATTGATTAACTTGTTAAGTATTTCTGTGTCGTTAAAAAAGCATTTCGGTTATAGCGTAGCGCTATCGAATATAGAACACAGATTTTGTTTTTATGCCATTCGTGTCAGAGAGTGTTTTTACTAAAGTAATGGAAATTTTTCAAAAATATTGTTGGATGGAGACAAATGCTGTACCTGTTTTCAACGTTCTTGAATTATGCATGACTTCCCCTTTCCAAAGTGGACACGAATATGATCCAATAACTTTGTCTTCGTTGAGGATCTATAAAAAAATAGCTGAAGTTTCTCATCGGCGAAACAAGGTCAAATGAAACTTACAGCGTATAAAAGCTACCGTTACAAACAGTATCAACAAAATAAAAGAATCCAGATGAAACATAAAATTCAGAATTTTCAACAATGTCAGCGTATACAAATGAAGCAGATAAAACATTCCATAAAAAAAAGATTCTAATCTATTTGTACGATGCAATTAAATCCAAAATTTGTCATTATTTCTGAAGGAGAATTTTCTTTCTACTATATTCATTTGTTGTACGTAAAACATTGTCATGAGCTTCATAAAGAAAGGACAAAGGAAATTCTTGCAAGCAAGAAAGCTCTATTGATCGTGAAATATTAATGGAAATACCATCTACGGAAAGAAAGGGAGTATTCGACATCATCTTTATTGATGACATCGTCGGGTTTGGCTTCCAACCATGTCTGACCTGGTACTTGGTAAATCTTTTCCCAAGGATCAGAAGCTTTTTTCTCCGTTCGGATTTTCATTTTTCTTCTTGATCCCGAATATCCACAGATTCTTTTCCCGCGAACACCTTTGGGAACAAGAAGGTCAACTAACCATAAACAATAATATTGGCTTATTCAACTGAATTATCAAGGGAAGTCTGTTACGTCTCGAAATAAAATGAGGGTAAATAGTAAGGGTAGCCACTTTTTCCAAAAAATGAAGGGGAAAGGATAGTGCGAGACTTTTATGTGGAACTAGGAAACAAAAGGACTTTTATCTTCTTGTAAATACAATTTAATTAGATTAAAATCATATTTTAATTAAAAGGTACCTGAAATTGATTTTTAAATCCACATTCAATATCGTAGAGATTTTCCCAATACGATTACCATTCCATTAAAATATTTATTATTTCGTTCACCCCACCACCAGCCGTGCAATTTATATAAATTATTGTCTGAGCAGACCAACGTAGGAGAACTTACAACAAACATTAATTTACATTTCCAGATTACACGTGATTATTAAAAAGAACTGTATACTTGATAAAACAAGCAAAAGTAACAGTACTTATTCTATAAACTTAATACCATAGGATGAAATTTAAAACAAAAATAAAACTATAATAACGCGTCTTTAACAATTTATAATTTCATGAATCAAACACATCGATTCACTGTTTCCAAGCCCACAACATGTCAGCCTCTTTTTCTAAACTTCCTTTCCGAATTTACTCCAAGTTCAGAAATTTACCGCCAAGACGGCCATAATGTGATTCCCGATCGTTCCACCCCCGTCCGGAAAATGGCCGCGGAAAGACCCGGAGGCTTGCCTCCCCGCAGTTACGGTTCGCCATAATTTATGGAAACTCGATACACACCGGGCGTAACACATTTTCCACCCGCTCGGTGTTCATGAGCCCCCTCGTCTGTGTTCCGTTCCAGAAAGAGAAGTTCGTGAAATTACTGGATCAGCTGCACAATTCCCTGCGAATCGATCTCTCGATGTACAGAAACAATTTCCCGGCGTCGAGCCAGGAGAAGCTGATGGATCTGAAGAGCACGGTCGATCTGTTGACCAGCATCACGTTCTTCCGTATGAAGGTCCAGGAATTGTCGAGTCCGCCGCGTGCCAGCACGGTGGTAAAGGATTGCGTGAAAGCGTGCCTTCGTTCGACGTATCAGTTCCTGTTCGAGAATTGCTACGACATCTACAACAGGGAGTTCCAGGTGGATCCGAGCGAGGCGAAACGCGACGCGGAGGATCACGGTCCACGTCTCGAGTCGCTCGACTTCTGGCACAAGCTGATCGCGTTGATCGTCTCGGTGATCGAGGAGGACAAGAACAGTTACGCCCCGGTGCTGAATCAATTCCCGCAGGAGCTGAACATCGGCCAGCTGTCCGCGGCCACTATGTGGTCGTTGTTCGCGGTGGACATGAAGTACGCGCTGGAGGAGCACGAGCAGCACAGGCTGTGCAAGTCCTCGGCCTACATGAACCTACACTTCAAGGTGAAGTGGTTGCACACGAACTACGTGAAGGACGTGCCGCCGTACAAGGGCGCGGTGCCGGAATACCCGGCGTGGTTCGAGCCGTTCGTGATGCAATGGCTGAACGAGAACGACGACGTTTCATTAGAATATCTCCATGGTGCCTTCAACAGAGACAAGAAGGACGGAGTGAGTGTCGTGTTTATTTTTCTTTCTCCTTGTATCTGCCACGATTCGACGGTAGCCGCATTTGGACTACAGTAAATCCACGATAAGTGTTCGAAGATTCTTCGACATTCAGAGGTAGAGGTCCCCGGGTGGAGCACTGATTTTTTAATTTGATTTATCACAGTGATAGAGCTTGGAATTCTGAAGATAATTATATCTGTTGCAGCTGCATATGACCATTAGTTTATGGAATATTTAATGTTCCGTGGCGACGACCCTTCGAACAATTATCAAGAATTTACTGTATGGCCTAGGTTGGATCACTAGTGTAAATTTGACTGTCTAAGCAATTTGCGCCGTATGATAGAAAATATGCGTTATACAGAGTGTTCTAAAAAGAAGGGAGAATCCGGAACATGGATATTCCTTATGTACATACAAATCGAAAAGTATTTTACCATCTTTTGGGACTATCTTGATAGATTGTACTCTCTTTTTGGGACACCCAGTGTATTAAGTTAGTCAATGGAATCACCACTATCATACACGTATTGTCTATTACACGGCAAAAATTGTTTACACGTGACAAGTTACAGTAGTAGTCCAACTTAGGCGATGATCCAAAATTGGCAAGCTTTCCCTAGATGTTTCGCTGTTGGAACATTCGAAGTTCAACCAAGTTCGATTTACTGGTGAATTATAATATCGTGAATTCTCTTTTACAGTTCCAAAAGAGCAGCGAGCACGCGCTGTTCAGTGTCTCCGTCGTCGACGTCTTCACGCAATTAACCCAATGTTTCGACGTGGTCTCGAAGCTCGAGTGTCCCGATCCGGAGATTTGGAAGAGGTATATGAAACGGTTCGCGAAGACCATCGTGAAAGTTTTGGTCGCTTACGCGGACATCGTGAAGAAAGAGTTCCCGAGTCATCTGAAGGAGGAACGAATTGTACGTGACATATCCCTCTGTCAAGGGAAGGCACAGAAGTGTCCCCCTCCGATTTTTATGAAACTTCGTATGTCTGTTAAGCAGTCAAAAAAAGGGATACGTATTTTTTCTTATAAACAAATTATACTTTGGACAATTTGTTAGCACCATATTATTCTACACAAAAAACCGTAAACCTCGTCCATTAAAAGTTTTCATGTATCTCCTCTGGTTTTCGAGATAGTACTTTCGGGTCGAAACTTCGAGGGGTGGTTCCACCCCTTAAAATCGCGTCCCAGCCGATTAAAAAAAAATACGCATCCCTTATTTTTGACTGTTTAACAAACATACGAAATTTCATCAAAATCGGAGGGGGACACTTCCGTGCCTTCCCTTGTGAGAGTTAATAATTAAAATTCCTAGAAGACATTATGACTGATGTATGACTGAAATAATTGTATTACAGGCCTGTATACTGATGAACAACATCCAACAACTTCGAGTACAATTAGAAAAGATGTTCGAGTCGATGGGTGGCGAGAAATTGGAGGAGGACGCGGCGAACATATTGAAGGAGTTACAGCAACAACTGAACGGCGCGCTCGACGATCTGGCGATGCTGTTCGCGAAGAGTCTGGAGCCGAGGATAACAGCCTCGGTGAAAGAATTAGGGGACTTGTTGCTGGCCGTCAAGGACGGTGGACACTCGCAGTTGTCGCAACCCGCCCAGAGGAACAACGTCGCCGTGGAAGCGGACGAAGTACTGCGACCGTTGATGGTTCTTCTCGATGGAAGCCTCTCGTTGTACGCCGAGTCGTGCGAGAAAACTGTGCTGAAGAGGCTGCTTAAAGAACTGTGGAAGATCGTCATGAGAATTCTGGAGAAAACGGTTGTGCTGCCACCTATGTCGGATAAGAGTGTACGTGTTCGATGAATTTAAGATTAACAAGAGATTTATTGCTGAGTAAAATATTTATTTGTCGATTTTACAGATGATGTTCAAGAATCTGACGGACAACGCGAAGAATCTGGCCGCGAACGCCAAGATAGAGGACATGTCGAAGCTGTTCAAGAACCACATAGCGGGCAAACCGGATGTGAAGAATGCTCTGAGCGGTGTGATGGTGAGTAATAGATTTAATTTCATTTTTATGTCGAAGACACAGCAGTGGATAAGGTGACCTTGATCTTGATCCGAGTAGAATGATATTACCGAAATTCTTATTTCTCCAGGATATTTCCAAGGAAGTTGAGAAGAATCTGTCGCCGAAACAATGCGCGGTTCTCGAGGTCGCCCTCGACACGATCAAGCAGTACTTCCATGCTGGTGGAAACGGCCTGAAGAGAACGTTCTTGGACAAATCGTCGGAGCTGCAGAGCTTGCGATACGCTCTTAGCTTATACACGCAGACAACGGACACCCTTATCCAGACCTTCGTGAAATCGCAGATCAACCAAGGTGAGCTGATATTTAAATACCATGCCTTTAACTAATACCTCCGTGTGCCTAAATCTTTTTCCCGTATACTGGTAGGTAACACGTATTTTTAATAACGAAGAATGGATCCTTTTTTCTGTTGAGAATTGTAAAGACTACAAAATTTTTCTATTTATTTCACTACTATCGCAAAATTTCAATGGAAGCCAATTACCTAAAAATCATGGATGAGAAAAAGAATATTCCATAGGGTTTCGAATTGGCTCTTGCAATAAATTCGCTATCATTCGCACCATAGCATTTCATCCAAATTCCGTCAGAAATTACTGTATTCGGTAGGACGTTAAATGATATCGTATCAGTCACGTTCCAAATCAAGTTTCATTTTCGCCACGAACACACATATACACACACACGCATTATGTCACCTCCTGGTTATTCATTGTCGAATACACACACGTTCGCAAAACCGGGTTTAGCCGACGTTACCGTTCCCTCTGTTGATCAAACTCCAACCGACGTAACGTGAATTGTCGCGACAGTGCCGCTGAACAATGCGTCAAAGCTACGTCAGCGTCAGCGTTCGATGAGCAGCGAGAGGGGTGGTGACGAAGGGGATGGAGCCGAGGGTATGGAAAGCCTCGAGGAACCCCTTCGCCAGAGCAAGCCCTCTCTCCGTCGAGAGAGTCGACAAGGTACCAAGAGAGCAACTGCTCTTAGAGCAGAAGCCTCGGAAAAACAATTCTTGGCTGATCCTCGGTCACTTTCGACATCTAGGCGCTCGTTTAGGACGTAGTTGGACTGTTCGTTATTTGCATTATTCACCGAGCTGTCTCGTAGGGACAACAAATTTCTTCTACACAATTTTATTCTCATTTTGTTTCTGTTTTTTTTTCAATTATCCAATACATACCATCGTTCTTCATACGATAAGACACGTGTTTAAGTTCTTTTTTTGTTTTTTTTTTGGTTCAGTTAATCGTTCCACGCGTTGGCTGTCATGCAAGACTCCTTTTCTCGCCGATGATACGAATCCTATGAACAAATTTTCAAAGTTTCTATAACACACATTCATACGTCATATACTTCGATCTAAAATCCCTTTGGTAAAGGTTGCGTTGCGGCCACCGCGTACAGATCCTTTCGGTGCTATGGCAGCTTGTAACAGTTTATCGTAACTGTATTGTAACTTAGAAGCGTCCAGATACAGCCAGTACGCCAAGACCTTAGACGCTCCGCCCGTTTCGTAAGCTAAGCTTCCTACAGCAGCATCAAAGTCAACTGGCGGTTTAAGGTCACAGGTGGACTGTTATATCGATTACATTCGATCCGTCTCTGGTATAAATTACAGTAATGAACCGTGACCTTGAACTGTCAATCGAGTTCAATACGACGATCGCCATAGAATCGAAAGGGTCGAGACAAGTCCCGAAGAGCTCTCGGTGAACGATAGTTGTATTAGGTAGCGCTGCTGCTGTCACTAATGCCGCTGTTGCTGCTACTACGGTGAATCTTTGCCATAATCTACAGTGCGCATCTTTCCAGTCATCATCTTCAAGGCTTTGATTACACACAATCACACACAGAGAGACACACACGTATCACAGATGTGAACTTTGTTCGATCGATCACTGGCCAGTTCACCGTAATCACTGTCCGACACGATCCATTCTGAAGAGAAAATCACCCACCACCAGCAGCTATACGTTCGGTACTATCTTTGTCGCCGTAAGCGTCGACCGATCACAAAAAAAAGTTTAGACATACTGAACTGTCGGGTGCAGCGTACCTGCACCACCAGCACATCGGCACCACGTATACACTACCTACCAAGGACAACAACCAAGATTACAGGCAAACTTGGTCAAGAGACGGACACGGGGCCATTACAGATATCCGTCTTTGCGATTCTCACGCATTCGACGAAGAAAAGACATTCGATTCCCTTAACCCTTTAAGTTGTTTTACTTCGTTTCGAAAACGTGCACTTGTGTGCTTAATTATTTTCAAGCTATAACGAGTATACTCGACTAAAAGCGGAGTAAATGCATTTGCTGTCGAATTGAAATAAATTCGAATAAAATGACAAAATTACTCTTGCGATTTGAGCGCCATGTGTTATCAAAGCAAAACTGGCTTATCAAACAGCCCTTGTGCATATACTGCTGCATATTTCTTTTGTTCGAGTGATTTTCTTTTCTTTGTCCTAAAATATTCTAAAATGTGTTGAAATTACAAATATGGTTTTTGTTTTACCTAAGTATTATTGTAAATAGCAAATGCAAATTTTTGTTCTGTTCAATAACGAGTACACTCGTCGTTAAAGAAAAATGTGGCATTTTTTCATGACAAGTATACTCGACGTGAACGTCGAAAGGGTTAACGCTTCGGAAAGGATCCTTTAATTCTTATCGATCCAAGACTGCACCTTCTCTGCTGAATACTCCAAAAGACAAATGTTTCATGCATACCGTTAGAGCATGTAATCTGCTCTAGAACATAGAATATTAGCATCTGAACTTTGAATATTAGCATCGAATAGAAGCGATCGAAGCTCTGTCTCTCTCTCTCTGTATCTCTCTCTATCTCTTTCTATTCCGTAGCGCCTAGCATCCGAGAAAATTGGTGAATTCGTGGAACGGTAAATCTGATCTAGCCTTTTTGAAGTTCCAGATACCGCAGGCTCGGAGGAAACTTCCGTGGGAGAGGTTAGCATCCAGGTGGATCTCTTCACGCATCCCGGAAGCGGTGAACAGAAGGTTACAGTGAAAGGTACATAATCGTTCTAACTACGTGAATCACTTTAAGTTCTCTAGAACATTCGTTAACCTGCGTATCTGGCGTTTTTCCAGTTGTTGCCGCGAATGATTTGAAGTGGCAACTCGCCACAGGAATGTTCAGGCCTTACGTCGAGGTGAATCTAATCGGGCCGAATCTCGCCGGAAAGAAGAGGAAACAATCGACAAAGTCGAAGAGCAATAACTGGTCGCCGCAATTCAACGAGAGCTTCGACTTGTAAGTAGAGAGCACGTTAAGACACGGATCGGTAGTTACTACCCATTACAATCAATGATCCTGTACAAATTAACTAAAACCCCTAGAATTGAAAGAAACCATTATGATTATTCTTGTAAAGAGCAAAACGAAAACAGGATTCGTAACTTCTGGGGTAAATAGTACACCCATACCTCGCTTTACAGCCTACATACGTTCCGGAAAAGTTTATTTTGATACAAACGAATCGATTATTTTGATACAAATCGATACAAAAATGCTTATTTTTTTTTGGCCGTATAACGAAACATTGTGGGCCGTAAATTGAAAAAGTGCCATTATTAAAAAAGGCCGTTATAGCGAGGTATAGGTGTACTTGCCAAAAAAATGTTTGACGAGTACTATTTACCCCAGCAGTTTTTTCTTTCACCCTTTTTAAATGGAAGTAACCATTAGCCCCGTGATAGCGTTCTCAGAATTCCGTAATAACTGATTGGTTTTGCTTCGCTATCCAGTATGATCGGCAACGAGCAACAGCAACTGGACTTCCACGAGCTGCACATCTGCGTGAAGGACTACTGCTTCGCCAGGGAGGACAGGCTGGTCGGTGTCGCGGTGATGCAGCTCAAGGACATCGTCGAGGAGGGCTCGTGCGCTTGCTGGTTGTCGCTCGGCAAACGGATCCAGATGGACGAGACCGGCTGGACGATCCTGAGAATCCTGTCACAGAGGAACAACGACGAGATCGCGAAGGAGTTCGTGAAGCTGAAGAGCGACATCAGGCAGGAGACACCGTTGCCGAATCCCACCTGAAGCGCAGATACCAAAACGTTAAAAGCCGACAGCGAGAAGCGATGATGCGTCCCTCGAGTTTGGAAAGAGCTCGAGGGGTGAGAACGGGAGGGAGCATTGTCCACAATGGGGAAGACTAAGAGAAGCGTTCGGCCGTTGTTGTCGAGAATATCAAAGGTCAAGGATCGTTGTCGTTGACGAGCAGTGCAACAAACACCGGGAACACACACGGAGAGAGACAACACCATATGTACAGAGAAAAGAAGGGAAAACAGAAAATCGCCGACGAGAACGATCGGCCAATCCCCGAGTCCCATTCGGCTCGTACCAACTCGTTCGAACGGGTCGAAGATTCAAGAAGGCAAGAACATCTTACTTCCGGGGTTTCCCGCACAGCCAGCTTCCGGTCGAGCGTATTCTTCTCTCTCTTTTTTTACGAATCACAGAGCTTTAGTCCCGTCCCTAACGAAAAAAAAAAAAAAAAGAAGAAACAAACAAAGAAACAAAAGAATCGATCGAATAAAAAAGGACGACAGATCCTTTGGAAGAGAGATCTCCTTAGAATATATCGAAGCGAACCACGTTGAAGATTAAGCGCCCGGAATCGTAACACGTTCGTCCATCGGTTTTTACGGGATAAAAACGAAGGGGAAAGAGAGGAAAGCCGCCGATTTACCTCCCGCCACACTTTCGAGGTGCCCGCACCAGGCGACCGGTTCGATAGAAACGAGGCTCGGTACGGTGATTCGGTGAACGCAGAGGAACACAACGGACTCTTATTCGATTAAGTGCCGTGAAGAGGGGAGGAGACGATGCCTCGGGTATCGGCAAGAGAGTGTTCCGTATAAACGTGAAACCGTGAAAACAGTGCTGCCAGTACGCAATATATTTGGTAATATTCGTAACGTAAGGGAGGAGAAGGAGGAGAAGGAGGAAGAGAGTCGAATTAGACATAAAAAGTGCGTCCAACGCGATTGTACACCTCGACATCCACGGATCCCAAGGCGAGATACGTCGCGCTGTCCTGCAAAATACGTCGACGCGCGTGAACGGAAGACGAGAACGAGGGATTGTCGTAACGAGTGAGGGGTCCGAGATAGCGAAATCACGATCTGCCGATAAATCCAGACCGCGGATTCTGGTCGCGGTGTTTTCGTGAAACTTGCAAGCGGGTATCGCGGATGCTGCAACGAGGCGAATGTAACGGATTACTATATAAATATAGACCCTCGTGCGAGACGACGTTTTAGGCCGTTTGTTCGGGAAGACGAGTTTACTTGTAGATAAACACGTGGAAACCACATTGTTGACGAAGAAGTTTTTTCTAATAACAAATTTAAAACGTAGCATTGCGTACGACCAATAGGCGCGTCGCGGGGCCGCTCGCGGCGTGCCGTTAGTAATAAACAAAATTAGGCATTGTAATTGTAAAGTACGTTCTTATCGTAAGGAATTAACAAGAGATCGTAAGAGTCTGATTGGTGTGGTGAATGACCGAAACGAGGTCCGCTCGAAGGCTTCGAGAGCCCACGTTACTCCGTGAATCAGTCCCCCGGTCCTGTCCCCCGGATTGAATTTTGAGAAGACAAAAAACAAAAGAGAGAAAAAAGCAATCACACAGTGCTGTCCGCCGTCGATCCCCGGATCTCTGTACAATATCATGAAACCGAGAGCCTCGGATCCAGGAAGTCCGTGTCGAGGATTGTGTCCGCGAATCGACGACCAACAAACGTTTTTCGAAATTAACCTTTATATCGTTGTAGCTCTATAGTACTTAAATATTCATAATAACTTCGACACTCTACCGACGACCATTGCTTTTTGTGTGAGCGAGCAAAAACCAAATGTATACACGAGAATGGCGGAACGCAAGCTCTTCGAGAACAAAGGGAGGGAAAGACACAAATGAGAAACGGACGTTTAATACTCCTCTGTCTGTTCGCTCGATATCTCTCATCGATATTACTCTTGTATATAGATCGGATATCGTCCATTCGCGGAGAGGATCTCCAAGCCGACGATCTGGTCTGTTGTGCTCTCTCAATCTCTCGTACAAGACTTCCCCCTCCGTCGAAGATAAAGAAACACGGGAATCGAGGGCGTACGCGTTGAACGATCCCTCTTCGATCTGCCACAATCTGGACACGATCCACGTTTCCTAGGATTTGTCCTGAGACACCACGGATGTCCTTTCCGTTTCGCCGTTCCCAACGTCGTTCGAAAGCGACGTTTGTCGCCCCCGGTCTTCGCCTGCCCCCCCACGAACCTTCGATCGGACCTCACGGAGAAAACGTTCGAGAAAAAAGATATGCAAAAAAAACAGGAGAACTAATAATAACACGATGATGCACACACACGACTTTGAACCTAATGAATTTCATTCACCGGCCCGTTCGCGGCCCGGCCAGATATACAATTCCAGATGATTACATGATTATATTCAAAAAAGTTTCTACTACGTAGTACGTCTAGATTAATACTTACGTATTGTGTATAGTGTCTAAAAACGCTGATTGTAGGCTGCGAGCGCGGGATTTTCGTCTGGAGCAAATAACGCGAACGAGAGAAAAGAGAGCCACCCAGGAATAGCGTGTTCGGCCATCTTAGATAGAACCAAGGTGCTTTCCGTTAACCAGAATGACACCGTCAGTCGTGACTACACGCGACACAGGTCAGGCGCAAGGGAGTTTCGACGTGTTAGTACAATTTCATTTACGCTTGTGGAATTACCCTTGTCGCGACGACACGGGCGCGAGACTTTACGAAATTTCTCTCTTCTAACAACGCGATTTCACGTACTCGTGCGTGTTCCTCCGCGACCTCGTATCAATTGAAAATATCATAGGACAGAATAGAGACACGAGTTTTTAACCTGTTTTGTTCGTGATACGCGCCAAGACGTTCCGCGACGCGGTTAGAATCCCGTTTAGATCCAAAAAGTGCCCAGATCTGTGCCGTTCGATTCGAAAATAAAAAGAAAATATAATCTCCTGACGAAATATTCCTCGAGTATGAAACGTGTTCCGTGTCGTTCATCAGAGACACCCTAAGGTTCATCGTGTGATGTTTGAACTGTGTGGTTGCCTGTGGAACGAACTTGAACACGGTTCCGAGCTCGAGAGCATTCACACGTTGTCGAGGGGGAGGGGGGTGAGAACCGATAGGTGTCATTGACGTGAACAGATAAGTCAAAAAAGAAAGAAACGATACAACCAATGAGACAAGTAAGGGGTTGATAAAAGAAAGTTACACACGGGTCCGCGATCTCGCCACCATATTCATTTGTAAAAGTGTCTATTTTCTCCGCTGCCTAAGTACATACTAACTACGAAGTAAAAAAAAAAAAAAAAAAAAAAACTAAAAGGCCGGCGAATTCGACGCCCAGACCAAGTCCGTCGACGAAATGGGAACGGCCTGTTGCGTTTCAACGCTGGGGCCTACCGTCGAATTTTGCGGGTCGCGTTCGGCAATCGCGCCTCGTAGACCAGGTTGGCCGCCATATTTTCCTCCTACTCTCCGCTTCGATTAATATCTCGTAAGCTTAATGAAAAAAAAAAAATATCTCGTGTATTCTGTGATAATTACCCCTTAAAGTACACACAGCCCACAAACACTCGTACACACACATGTACACGTACACGTGTTTCACGTACATTTTCACACAGAAAACATATAACCCTACAAAGGACTACGAATGGAGTCTTATACACGCGGGGTACATACAGCATAACAGTGAATCTGAAACGAATGGGGACACGGAGAAACACATTACACGCGAACAAAGGGACAGAAAACAGACGCTCCATATATACAAACGACACCAAACGTACGTGATTACACCGATATCCCAATAGCAAACAGTATTTTTCTCTTTTAAAAGACAATTTCGATTTCTATTCTCTATACTCGTTAAACGTCCGAAGAGTCTCGTCGGTGTGAGGTAGCGAACGACGCCGCCGCCAACGATCGTTCGCGACAGGCGAGCCGAAATTCTCGCGGTGTTCGGCGATCCATGGCCACGCGGAACGATAAAAAAAAAAAAAAAACGAGGACGGTACAATGTTACCGATAACGAAAAAGGGGACGCAAAAGTGTATTCGCGGGCAACGAATCACGTAACCATTAAGAAGATCCAGGTGAGCCACGAGGGATTCGATGAAAACGACAAAAGCGTCCGTTGCTGTTTGAAAGTAATAAATATTCGCCCGGATTCATGCATCACCAGTCAGTCACACACCTCGGTTCTCGTGTGATCACGCAATCGTACAAAAAATGGGGGAAAGCTTATATCGTAACAAGTTAATATTTTTACAGTAAAATTTAACCCTTTCGGGACCGACGATTACTTTTAATTTCCATGTTCTTTACCATCGATTCGAACCGAGATATCGTGTATTATGGTACTAAATCAACGTAATTTGTAGCGTTGACCATTTTCACGATATCGATATTTGTACTGTTTATTGCATTAGTAATTAGTAGAACGTGATATGATGCATGTCTGTGGATGTTTTAGAGGTGAATCTTTAATCGTAAAGATGGTCACTGTATTATAGTCGATATATTCCATTGTTTTGGATATCTTTGAATTGAAAGGAAAAACAGTGGTCCCTAAAGGGTTAAACGAATCAATAATTGTGTCATCATTAATCTACGCTCGATAAAAGCATATCCATAAATCATTCAGATATAACACGACAGTTTCGACGATAGCTAACATCATCTTAAAATTGCATATCCATTGGTCTCGTTGCACGAATTGATCCAGTTCTCCAAAAAAAAAAAAAAAGAAACGAACCGAAAACAAGCACCGAACGTAAGACGAATAAAAAAGGGCGCGTACAATGGAAATAGGGTCGAATGCTGGTAGTTCTTGTTCGACGGGAGCGCGAGATGTCACCGCGAACTTTTGCGTCCGGTATACACGCCGACACACACACAGGCGCAGAATCAAAGAATGGAAAATTCGAGTAACCACACTGGAGGAGATTGCTGTGTCGCGAGAGCTTGTAGCAGGGTGAAAAGAACCATTTAACAAAAATCGGACCGAGTGGTCAACAGAGAGAAAAGAATGAAAGACGAAGAAGAAGAGTAAAACGAAGGACAAATATATACACAACCGTTGACAATACTATGCTTGAAGAATCGTACGACGCGTATGTAATGTACCTAACAAATATATTAAAAGAAAAAAGAAAAAAAATAATGACGAAATGTTTGTGTTTCGTAAGTAAAAAGCCATATTAAGGAGATAAATTTGTAATCATGTGACAAGAAACGCATTTGCAGTAAAAGAAAAAAAAGTATATAATAAATAACTAACGGATCGCGTAATTCTGTGCGTACATATGCGGATGACTGCGTGTTTACTAGGTAATTATATCGTAACGTGTAAAGAGTACATTTTCGTCGTCCCTTATCGGAGAAGTGTGTACCACCACCCCGTTGTTATCAAAATTTTTCACGCGTAAAAGCAAGCGAACGAGGGAGAAAGGAGAGTACATTAAACGAACATCGTTGCGCAGCCTCCGAGTATGATAGGTGAAACTAAAAGAAAGCAATTGTATCCGAGTCAAACACGCACATTCAACACAAGAAAGAATGGAAAAAAAAAATGAATAATACCTATGATACCGAATATCCAGGTCTTTGTTAATAAATGTTTCACTTTCATTCGTTCACTCACACACGGGGGAGCTTATTCTCCGAGCCGATTGTACGATTGAAACCTCCATCGTCATAAACAAAAAAAACCTCTGCCCAAAGAAATTAAAGATCACCGCTGTCGATCGATCAACGCCAGTATTGTCAGGTATTTCATCGGATTTTTTAATCCATCCATTAATCCGCGTCCGGTTTCCTCATTCGTTCTCTGTGATACTTGATTGATCCTCTGACAATTCTGGCTGGTCTGATCATTATCGCGATTCGAATAGAATTTCATCATCGCCACCTCACGTGTCGTATCTCGTGTTCACATGTGTGTCGTCGAAGAAA